TTTTTTCGCCAAGTTACATAACCTTGAATATAGCAAAAGTACGTGTTTTTTACACTTTTAGGTTAGAATATCTCGGAAACCTAGGGTGATGGATCAATTCTGAGGCTAGATTCGGATTCAGCGCGCCAAATGCCTTCGGAAGCATAGTGTCTGATTTCTGGATTTTTTTTTTTTTGGAAATTTTGTCGGCCTGTGTAATTATTTATAAATGATTTGTACTTATTAAATTATGATAGAATAAATTTGAAGTTAAATATAAATGTCATTTTATTTATAAATGTCAAAAAATTCCCAGTGTAATTTCATGCTCCTTACCCCAAGGAAGAGAAAAATTTCCGGAAATTTTCTTAGTTGCTATAGTAACGCTACAAAATACAGGCCTTTAATTGGCTGAAAAATACTATTGTGAAATTTTCAGAAAAATATACTATAAAATAAAAAAGTTTCATGCTGTAGGTTTTTGTTTTAAAAATTTAGTCAGTTACCTTCATTTAGAAGCATCTTTTCCGGCAACAACCTCATAGCATCCGTCTCTGTTGGATTCTTTTCAGTGACAGGTCTTTTTCCCGTCGATTATTAAATCCTCTTCCATTCTTCAAGGAATTGAGCAGTTCTTTGAGGAGAACACCCACGGAATCCTCACCACCGCCAACCTGACCTTGGCCATATGGGAAGAGGAAGAGGACCACTCCGAAGCCTTGATCTACATGTTCGATCCGAACCCCAGGGGACCCACGGGGATGCCCCTGGACACCGGCACTGCCTGCGTGATGACCTTTGTCAACGCCAAGGTGGCCGCCGATCACATCATGGCTTGCATGCTGGACCCGGACGAAAAAATGGGGGAGTTCACCATCGCGCCGGTGGAAATAGTGGTTGGTAACATGAAAACTAAGGAGAAAATCAAGAAGACAGCTACTAGTGAAAAGGGTGTATTGCCCAGGTGCTCCAAGTCCGTGGCAGATGAGGAGAAGAGGGTCTTAAGGAAAATTGTAAGTATTACGAGAAACTAATGATGAGAGGAAAAAAAAAAGGAAATTGTTACCTGGACTTTTTTAAGTGCAAATGGTAAAGGGGCTTATAATAAACGAAAAATAAATAAATAAATGGGTGAACAGGGGTGGCGGAGGGTTGATTTGATGGGTTGAAAAGTTTTGAAAAATTGGATCATTTGGATTTCTGACGAAAGTTGACGTCAAACAAAAAAGTATTCAATACAAAAGTTGTAGATCATGCAAAAATCTACAACTTTTGTAGAAGTCACTTTTTAAGACAACCTTCAAATTTCCGAGAAAAATCTGAAAAACGGTTTTTTTTTCCTTATTTTTCTTTTTTCTTATTTCCGCAAAAATAATTTAATTTTCACGAAACTCGGTGAATGTTTACCTTTCTGTGTTTTAGATAAAAAAATCAAAAAGTTTCCGAGATGTTCATTTTTCCGGTCTAAACACTTTTTTCTTCAAAGAAAAATTCTACTTAGAAAAATCACGATGATTCTTCTACGTAGAACAGAGCCTGTGATCATTTTTTTCGTTTTGACATATACTTTCTGGTGAAATAAAAAAATCTGTAATCACAGTTCAAAAACATGCTCAAAATGCAAAAAAAAATAAATTGCAACAATAAATTTCTCAGTACTTGTTGATAATTTGTTTCAATTTAAAAAATATCAAAAACTGATTACACCATTCAATTGTGCGGAAAAAATACAAAAAAAACTCATTGTATGTTTTTTTCTGGCTTTATTTGAAAACGAAATAAATTGCATATTTACAATAGCACATTTTTCGCTCTATACAATAGCGCTCTACAGGGTGTCTCATAATTAGCTGCTAACCCTGAACAGGCCGATTCTATGATCAAAACTAAGTAAAAAAGTTCATATGAACATGGGTCCGGAAATGCTTCCTAAGGGCACAGGGACCCATTGAAGAGGGAGGAATGGAAATCATTTTTTTGCAATATCTCTCAATCGCGTTGTGATAAATGAATGAAATTTGGTATACACAGCTAAATTTTGATGAGCAATTTGATGGACTAATCCATTTATTTCCACAAGGTCCATTGGGGTGGGTACGGGGGGGCCCTTGGTACTTTGCGTGTGTAACTTTTTCATCTTTGACTTTTTAACAAATTGGACAGCAAATTCCGTTTTCCCGAACTGTTTTACGTTAAAAAGGTACTCTTGTTTCAAATCGTTATCTTTAACGGTTTCTGAGAAAATCGCTCTTGAATTAATCCCACTTTGGTCAATTTCATAGTAATTTAAACAAAAAAAAATATTTTGTTTCAATTTAATCTAGTTTTAATAAAAAAATAATAATAAAAAATTAAATTAAATAAAAATTAATCCTTTAAATGGAAAAGAGAGGAAAGGAAAATTATTATTATTATTTTTTGTTTAAATTACTATGAAATTGACCAAAGTGGGATTAATTCAAGAGCGATTTTCTCAGAAACCGTTAAAGATAACGATTTGAAACAAGAGTACCTTTTTAACGTAAAACAGTTCGGGAAAACGGAATTTGCTGTCCAATTTGTTAAAAAGTCAAAGATGAAAAAGTTACACACGCAAAGTACCAAGGGCCCCCCCGTACCCACCCCAATGGACCTTGTGGAAATAAATGGATTAGTCCATCAAATTGCTCATCAAAATTTAGCTGTGTATACCAAATTTCATTCATTTATCACAACGCGATTGAGAGATATTGCAAAAAAATGATTTCCATTTCTCCCTCTTCAATGGGTCCCTGTGCCCTTAGGAAGCATTTCCGGACTTACTTACTTTTTGATCTTAGAATCGGCCTGTTCAGGTTTGGCAGCTAATTATGAGACACCCTGTATACATTTTTGCAATCCGATGTTTCATGTTCGAGGGGTCATCATCAGGTTAATTTTTTTAATATGTCGCTTTTTATGGCCAAATCAGTCATTTTTAATTCTGAATTAGATGATATTACTATTGTAATCGCTTAAAAAGTTTTTAGCTTGTTTTAGCTATTTAAAATTTTTCCTGAGTACGGCTCTGAACGCTTTCAAAATACCTATCTATTGGTGAAGTCATAACAGCATGCAAGTGAATACCGCACAAAATATCCAACAATTTTTTTTTACTACTATTATCAATATTAATTAGAAATAATAAAACATTTCATAAATTCGTATTATTTTTTTATTAGGTACAACTCTTTAAATTATTGATTAAAAAAATTGTTGGATATTTTGTGCTGTATTGACTTTTATACTGTTATGACTTCCTCCGATAGATATTTTGAAAGCGTTCAGAGCCGCACTCAGGAAAAATTTTAAATTTTAATTTTAAAAAACAAGCTAAAAACCTTTATACAATAGTAATATCATCTAATTCAGAATTAAAAATGACTTTAGAAGACGAAACGTCGGATTGCAAAAATGTTGAAGCCATTGGGTAGAGCAAAAAAAGTGGAAATGTAAATATGCAATTTATTTTAAAATTCGTTTTCAAATAAAGCCAGAAAAAAATAAAACGATTTTGCAAAATTTCGGATATTCGGGTTTCACGTCAACAGTAGACGTTGCAGTTAATACTTTGTATTGCTGGAATCTCAATTCATCTAGAGATAATTTATCATTTGTGCATTTGTAATTCGACTTAGACGTTTATAGCAATACTGTAGAAATATAAAGTTTTGGGTCAAACAATGTCACATTTTTTTTGTATTTTTTTCCGTAGAATGAAGTTTTTGATTTTTTTTAATTTAAACGAATTATCAACAATTACTGAAAAATTCATGTTGCAAGTCATTTTTTATTTTTTTTTTTGCATTTTTGAGCATGTTTTGGAACTGTGCTCACTAATGCTGGCAATTGAAATCGGTTTTTTGGATAGTCGGTTAACCGATTTCAGATAATTCGGATTTTTATGAAATCCGAAAACCGGTTATTCGGTTATTCGAATCTTCAAATATCCGATTATTCAAATAACCAATTATTCGATGATCTACTTCCTTTTTTTTAGACATCGATTTGATTGCAATTGACCTTTTTTTTTGGAGATCGATTTCTTCGTAAACAAATTTGACTTCCAGATTTTTGTGAACACTTTTTTTTTTTTAGACAATTGCTCCGGGTCTGTCTTTGTAAAGCACCGATTTTTAGATATCCGGTTTTGACGATTCAAGTAACGGGTTATTCGAATAACCTGTTTTAGCAACTATTTGACTAACCGGTTTTATCTAAAATCGGTTTTTACGGAACCCGGTTAACCGGTTTCACTTTTTTCCGGTTTTTGCCAGCACTAGTGCTCACAGATTTTTCTTATTTCACCAAAAAGTATATGTCAAAACGAAAAAAATGATCACCGACAGAACTCTGTACGATGATTTTCCTAAGTAGAATTTTTCTTTGAAAAAAAAAAGTGTTTCAGACCGGAAAAAATGAATATCTCGGAAACGTCTTGATTTTTTTATCTAAAAAAAATTGTGGTTATTTAAGACACAGAAAGGTATACTTTCATCAAGTTTCGTCAAAATTAAGTTATTTTTGCGGAAATGAGTAATAAAAAACGAAACATCAGAAATCGCATTTTTTTCGGAAATTTTGAGGTTATCGTAAAAAGTGACCTCTACAAAAGTTGTAGATTTTTGCATGATCTACAACTTTTGCGTTGGATACTTTTTTGTTTGACGTCAACTTTCGCCAGAAATCCCAATGATACAATTTTTTACAACTTTCCAACCCCCCAAATCAACCCGCCACCACCCCTGCTCACGCATTTTATTTTTTGGGTTTATTATAAGCCCTTTTACCATTTCCTCTTATAAAATTCCAGCTAATATTTTTTTCTCCAAGTGTAATTTGGTTGGACTATTTCTTCTAATGAGGCAAACATTCAGTGTGGCTTCAATATTATTTCATCGGTAATCACTTTGCCACCCTACTAATGATTGCTTACAATTTTTAACTATGTATCGGTTCGGCCATGATGCAAATAATAAAGTGACATTTACAAAAAAAAATTATATAGTTCGCTCGTGGTTTTAACGCCCTTGGTGGAATCACAATGCATAAATTGTAATGCTTTCTGCGTGTAATACCTAAACAATGACATGATCTTAAATAACTAATAATTAATTTATCTCTATTAAAGAAAAAGCTGTGCAAACATGTTCGCTCAAGTATTTATTTAATGTTTTAAAAGAAAAAAATTACTGTGTTTCTAAAACATGTAAATTATGAAGAAATAGCGACAATTCGAAAAGGACGTGGAGGTAGAACAAATCAGTAAACAGCCGATGAATAACTAAATAATTAATGAATACATAAAACTGTAATTTAAAAGGAAATACTTATGCTTGTGTGGTCCACACAAAGCGCTATGCGAGGTATGTCCAACATTATTCTAAAAATAAGCCATTTCTCAGTTACCGTTTGATTGAATCGCAGATAACTTCAATACGCACCAAAAAAATTATAGGAAATATATGAATTCTGTAACTAATTTTAAGCAAAAATGATTCTGTTACTTTTCCCGAAATCCCAACGGTTCTTGAAATGTCGGGGTTTTGAAGTTGTCAGATCGTATGGGTAGTTGCTAAAGACTAAATTACATTGTTGCGACTAAAGAGCCAGGTAATTTGATAATTTAGCAACTTGGCAGGTAGGTAAGTATTATTTACCAGTCGAGGACGATTTTGCACCCGAGCGGAGCGAGGGCTGGCAATAGAATCCGAGACTGGTAAATTATACTTGACTGAGTGGTGTATAACATATTATCTGCTCCCGCAGTTCTTTATGGTTCATGACATAAAGATTAGGTTTTATTTTTTGACATTTCTCAATCAATTCATTTTAAAAACTTACAAAGTCGCCTTGGTTGTTTGGATTTTGTCGTTTCTAAGGTGTTTATAAACAAAGCTACATAAAAGTTACATGCGAATTTTTATTGCTCGAGAAGAAATTTCAAAGGGTGGTGCCAGAACAAAAATGCTGGTGTTTCTGAAATGTCACTGCT